GGCTGTCAAATCCCGTCACTCTCAGGGAGGACACACCCCTTCCCTGCCCAGGCTCACGACGGAGAGTGACAGCCCAGGCCTGAGCCTCTGCGGCCTCCCTGCTCGGCCCTCCTCCCAGCTCCCATCCTGCGAGTTCCCACAGCACTGACTGCGGCCGCCGCAGAGGCTGCTCCCCCCGGCCTCCCCAATTCGCCCCGACCCGCCCTGCAGCTCCGAGGCGCCGGGCAGAGGAGGACCCAGGGTCGGGTGAGGGCGGCACTCACCGGTAGCCGCCCAGAGGGAACAGTTTCTTCACTCTTTCCCCGCCATCTTGGGAGGACGTCACCACCACGCTCCGCCTCTCCCTTCCTCCTCCGCCGCGACGTCACGTCCGGTTCAGTCCGGCGGAGACACGCGCGATAGGGCCACTGGAGGCGGTGGTGGGGGCGGGGGTCCGACATCCTCCGGACTCGCGAGCTGGCCCCGACTTCCCGGCATGCTCGAGGGCCCCAGGAACGCGACATCTCAGGGCTCACTCGCAGTATGAGCCGGCTTCCTCACTGGACCAGAGATCAACCTGCCGCCGTCAGCCCAGATTCTGCGCCCAGGGTGCGCCCCGCTGCCTTTTCCGGGATCCGCACTGCATGCTGGGAATTGTTGTTCTCTTCTCCCGTCATCTGTCCCTCGGGGCCCCGCCGGTGGAGACTCCAGTTTAGTGCACCGAGGCTCTCAACTATGGGGGTTATTTGAGCCGAGACCAGTCGTTCCTTCCCAATTTGCATACCCGAAAACTACTGGGAGCCCCCTGAGTTCTGTTTGAGTCGATCCACTGGAGCTCAGCTTCCAGGATGTCCTTACCTGGTAACAGAAGGCTCAGACGCAGGAAAGCGAAGCTAAGCCGTAGGGCACACTGGGCATGCGCAACATGAGAGGAAGGTGGGCTTTGTACCGGAAAAGGTTTTCCTGCTTCTGGACCAGAGCAGTTGTAACAATTATTTACATCAAATTCAGATTTTGTGCATTAAGGAAAAAGAGCATAGTTACCTCTGCAACACTCAAAAGTGTCAGAAAGTCTTGTTGTGTAGGTGGGCTGTAGGGTAGATTCTTGAACCAGCGGATATAAATCTCAAAAAAAAAAAAAAATCACAACTTAAAGTTATGTGTTTGGACCTTAAAGTTTGTTATTAAGGCATTTACCTGTGACTTGATTTAAAGGACAGTGTCAAATTGAATTATTTTTTTTCTCCTGAGATTCCCCCCCATTTTTGTTCTCTTAAAAATTCTCTGTATGAATTGTATTTGTGAATAAAATCACAGTCGTGTTTGTAAGAAAATATTTCTGTATATAAATTTCTTTGAGTCTACTATTTTGTCGGGTCCTTTTTCGACAATATATTCTGAAATATTTGTGAACTTGACATATAGAGTAAGAATAAAATATAGTCAGGCATTGGGAAAGTGGAATCTCAAGGGGAAACTAGGATACGGAAAACGCTCAGGAGGCAATAGGGCAACAATTTTGTTTTGTTTCTGTTAAAAATGTGTGTTACTGGGGATGAAACCAGAGTGCATACGCTAGGCGAACCTGGGGTCAGTTGTATTCTCCACCCTTAAGACTGACAATTACAATTAACTAATAACGCCCCATTAATAAAAGTCTGGCTTTCCTTATCAGCATTAAAATAGTCAAATTCAGGTTTTTCTTTAATTGGCAACCATTCTTCAACTTGGTAAATCCCAAGACACTAACATCAAACAGGAATTCAAATCCTCAAGGCTCTGAGAGCAGCTGTTTCATTTAGTTTTGTGAAAATGCCAGGGAACCGATTAGCTGAGGTGTGTGATGACTTTAAAAGGGCTGTTTCCACCCGGTTTCGAACCGGGGACCTTTCGCGTGTGAGGCGAACGTGATAACCACTACACTACGGAAACACGGCCATTTAGGTGGGGTGAAAAGTTTTAGCTAGTATGGCATCACAGGCATTTCGGAAGTGTTTAAGATGAACACGGTTTTTAGCAGAGGGAGAGAGAGAGAGGGAGGGAGGGAGGGAGGGAGGAAGGGAGGGAGGAAGGGAGGAAGGAAGGAAGGAAGGAAGGAAGGAAGGAAGGAAGGAAGGAAGGAAAACTACATTTAGCTGAACAACTCTATTTTAAAAATTTGAAGTCCAGAGCAGCTTCATGGAAAGCCCTCCAAGTGCGTCCTGGAGACCAGACTCCTGGCCCTCGGGTGCGTTTTCTTTTAGGGTCCCCGCGCCCGAAGCCTCAGCAGAGAAGGGGCAGACCTTGCAGCCTTGGGTGGGAGGAAATGTGAATTACTTCCGAGTTTCAGCGTGCTACCGAACACCTACCAGAGGTTCTAATTTGTGTGCCTGCTTTAAAAGCCCCTAAAAGGATGCCAGGACGCGCATTTTGCCACACAGTGTGCCTTCGAATTGAATTTCATAAAGATTTAAGGAATCTCTTACCAAGTGGCAGACATGTCCTTATGCCTAAAAAGTCAGCACTAGGAAATGAAAATTAGCGTGGAAAAGGAGAGAAGGCGGGGAGGGGAAGGAGGAGGAGGCGGGGGTATATAATCCAAAGAGAAAGGAAACGAAGATTAGCGAGGGGCGGGGGAGAGGAGGAGATGGTGATTTAGAGATGGAGATGGAGGGAAAGGAGACAAATAAAAGAGATGGGGGGGGAGGA